GCAGCGGCGGCAGCCCTTAAATAGAAAATAAAATGGAAACTATGGGGTTTGAAGCTTCGGGCTTTTGAGACGTGGTGGGGCCTTGGGCTTGAGCTTGGGGTTGACGGCTTTGCGTTCAAGGCATCAAGCTCTACAAAATTCAAGTGCACAACCCCTTCAGCTACACTGAGACTACATCATAAACTCTTCTCGTCGCATGTCCCCAACTTTGATCGGAGCTCTTGGAGGGTACGTTGCAAGCGGAACGAAGGTTCGGTCTGGGAAGCAGCTCTTTTTGGCTTAAACTGCTGCCACCCGTTACATTGAAGTTCCTTGAATAAACCAGGAAGGCAAAAGAGACTGTAGCATCCGGGAGCAATGGCAAGGTAGCCAACGGTCAGGAACAGCAGATCTGCCAAAGTTTCCAGGCTTGGTGTAGGGTTAGCCGGAGGGAAAGTGAACAGTCCGTCTCTCTCCTTGTTGCCCCTGTCCTTGTCAATACAGCCACAGATCGCCCGCATCCTTTTCCCAGTTTGATCTCTCTGATTGAAAATGCCAAGATCCCTTCCATAGCCGAAGAGAATCATTGCAACTTGAAACAGCAACTCGACAGTTTCTTTGGCGTGAATTGCCATCAATAGCCACAACGCATACCTTGCAAATGCATGCCCCACCAAGTCAGGTGGGAAAGACTCAAGTGAAGACATGGCACGACGACAAATGACACAACACGAAGAGATGAGACGATCACACGACGCGAGGATACAACAGTCATAGGATCGTGACCTGAGGCCTCTGCCGCTAACTACCGACCCCCTAAACACCGTATGCGCGTGACTGATGACACTACTGACATCCGCAGAGCACTGATGTCTGGCAAATCTAAGCAGTGTGCCGATGCGTCCCCGCCAAGCCCGTCCGTGCGAACTCCTGCGAGTGTCTGCACTTGACGCCCGGCTTCTTTTAATAGGGAAATTTCAGCAGCCCGGCGCATCTCATGGCGACGCGTCACTGACAGACTCTTGCGAAAGTTTGACAGTTCTTGCAGTGCCAAACGCTTGTGGACGATGAGCGGGCTCACGTCCACAAGCGTTTCAGCCCCAAAGTCCCCAACACCTGCAGTGATAGCTACCATTTCACGACGTTGGCAAGGCCATTAATCAATCCTCTAGCGCTGAGAGGTTTGTAGGGTTTTTTAGTTGAGGGCTCTTTCCAAACAGCATTTGCCTCAAAAGGCACGGCGAGAATAGGCGTGCTTCCCGCACAAGAACAACGTTCAAAGGCCCTTGACTTCGGAATCCACATGCGGGACTTTTAATGCCATGGCCTGAAGGCTGTCAGTGTATCGGGTGTCTTTGGTGATCCTCAGAGTATACTGGGATTGAAACCCCATTTAAGAATTAAGTCGACGTTTTTCTCAGAAACTCCCTCCTGAGGCCGCAGCTGACCATAGATGGCAGCGCCAAAACCACATGAATACGTTACCAGACACCTGGGACATCAATGGGACTGTATCAGCACAAGATCTTCCTTTATTCTTCTTGTCCAAGCCTAAGACGAGTCGTGTGGATTTCTAGTTGGTGTATCACGAGGGCGTCTTGACCCTAAACCACTAAATCCAAAACATGCAAACTTTTGTTCAACAACCAGGGCACAAGCAAAACACTGCCAGCATGCAGAGCCCAGCATCCAGGGCGGTAAACAATCGCAGCTGCAGCCATGCCGCTGACACGATTGCCTCCACGGTATCCTCGGGTGGTTTAGTTGCAAGTTTTGAGTAAATAAAGGCCTAGATAACCGCGAAATCATCTTGAACCTGAGGAACGGCGTTCCTTTATGCATTTAGGGTGCCAATGAGGATCATACTACAGGGACTACGACCCTCGTAGCTGTCATGAAAATTACAAATCGTACTGAACTTCAGGAGGATAACACAAGCCGCGATAAGCCGGGTATCTGAGTCCAAGGTCTCTTCGTTGGGAGTATCCGCCAGCGCCTTCAGAACTTTATTTCTGCGTACTGCTCGCATGGGTATGCAAAGCTGTCGCAGGGATGCCTGCACTTTCGGGACGTAGAACAGGTTCTGGCATCCCAAGTTCAGTGCAGAAGACGCTTTCTCACCTGTCGAAGACGCATCGTCACCTGTTGAAGACGCTTTGTCACCTGTTGAAGACTCTTTGTCACCTGTCGAAGACGCGTTGTCACCTGTTGAAGACTCTTTGTCACCTGTCAAAGACGCGTTGTCACCTGTTGAAGACTCTTTGTCAGCTGTTGAAGACGCTTTGTCACCTGTCGGAACTTTTGACTGGGTATCTTTCTTGCGCGGATCGCCACTGAACCGCCATCTACAACACGGTAGCCAGCTGGACGTTCCTGTAGCGTGTGACATCGGCTTGCTGATGGTCATTCGAAAGCTCCGCGAGGGGTCCTGGTACTGTGCGTGACTGGAACTCACAACACAGGACTCCGTTTGCATACATCACCCAAAAAGAAGTATTCCCTACCGTGAACATGTTCGCAAGCACTTTCTAAACCATACACAAGCCTGACAAGATTAGCTTGTCACACTGTTTTTGGGGCTTGAGCTGGCATAATAACAGTCGCCTTACTGCGAATGATGCTAGGACAGCAGAACACCTATCTGACCGGCAAAGCACACTGCTTGCTGTCCCTCAGTCGCTATCTTGATGCGAATGGAAGCACCATTTCACAGCCAACACGGGTACTGCCGCTATTTCTGCTTGAAATTTGATAGCCGCTGCAAACATACAAACAACGATTTGCCATTAGCTTCGTTGCTGGATACGTGCCTGTATGTACACCTCTGCCTCTATGCTTCTGCCACAATATACGACCACAACTAGACATCCGAACACCAGGACCAGGTGGCATGCAGGCACAAAGAGTCTCGATGCTGGTTCTACCACACACACACTGCACTATCATTGCGACAATCAGAGCAAGCTAACATTAATCCAAAGATGAAGCCCGTACCATTTGCACTATTAACGCCGACTCCGAAGGTAATCTAACGCAAAGAGTGACAATATCACATACAGACAGCAAAACCAACACTGAGTTTACAACTTCTGTAATGCTAACATTGGGCATCCTCACAGCACTGACATTTAAAGTGATGCCAGCACTGCTAACCATACTAAAGTTCGTGTCGTACAGAATCTAACGGCCGCTTGAATGCAAGAACGGTCTACACAACGAACGAACGCCAGAGTTCCCACTACTTCTAGAGCGATGTCCGCAACCACTCCTGTTGCAAAAGCGGTATTCGCATGAATAGAGCTGCAGGTCCAGTTTTAGGATAAGTCATGGAAGGGTCGTGATGATTCCCACTCTGACTTGAGCCAATGTAAGATATCAAAGCACCTCAAAGGCAGTTCTGAAGATGTATGGATGGAGTTAGCTCGTAACGTTAACAAACTAAAAATGTTGTAGTCGCAGCCTCCCTCAAAACGCTGACATTTAATACTGTGGCAGTTGAAAAATGTGATTGCAAACAAGCTAACTTCAGGCTTGGCACATTTCCAATCTTGGAGATCTTGTCGGTGCCGCTCTCACAGTGGCCGAGGACGGTGCGAATGCGTTCCCGTAGAGCCGCTTTAGTTTTATCAACCTGCATGCAAAGCTTGAGCTTCCACTGCGCATGCCCGTGCAAGCAAAACGTCACGAGCAAGTGCAGTGACAAATCACAATTGACTGCGCCTGTTCCACCAGCAAGTCATCCACCGCCTGTGTAAAATCCTTTCCCTCGCCAGTCAGCAAGTAAGCGAGCAGGTCTGAGATCTCGACAACCGCAATATTCTCATGCGGTCCTTTCTCTAGATTAGCTCGAGTTTTCTTATCAACAATGCGGTCCCGCATCACCTCTGTGACAGCAGCCTCCCTCGCTTCGGGCTGATATCCTGCGTCGTCCAAAGGTAGAAATGATCAAGCATGTCATCAAGGATACTGGATGTATTAAAACGGAGAATCTGCAAAAAATGCCGACCCCCTAAACCAGAAATCCGGTGGCCTGCGAGCAAGGCATGAACAGCATCTCCTAAGTCGCTGTTGGAATGGTATCTGCAATCATCATAGCCGTTGCTTTTTACGGCTAAGCCATGAAACACAAAAAAGTGTTAACAATTGCGCTGTCTCTGTCGTCAGCGTTCGCTGTCCAAACAACTAAGATAGAAGGAATGTCGGGGGGAAAGTCCTCCAGTAGCTTCAAAGTGCGGCCTGGAAGACCAAAACAATGGGTCTAGGTGGTTTGAGGTTTTGGACGGGGATCAGTGGATTTCAACAGCTATCATAGAATCTCAAAGTCTGTTGCTTTACACACAGTTGTAGAACTTGATAACATGTAATTCTGCAGAGCTCCCAAAATCAAACATCGCGGTTGCAAAGCCTTTTGATTGAAGGTAACGGGATCACTTAGGATAGAAGGCGTAGAGAAGTTCTGGTTGGGGATTTAGTAGGTAACCTTTCGAGCCGTCTCCTGAGGTCACGGAGGGTTTGGGCACGGACTCATGTAGCATTTTCTACATGTATATATGCATACATGTACATGAAGCATTTTCGTTGTCTGAACCTTACAACCTAGTCGCAGATGGTTGCATTCTGTACACACTGCAAACCACGCTGCCATTCCCAAACCCTCAGTCTCAAACTCTGATCGCCTTCAGATGGTTCAAACGCGTTCAAGCCTTTTGATTCAAATTTGTGAACACACTGATCCCCAAATTCTATTAGCGTGGGTAGCCCACTGCCTCCCAGCAGCAACTTGTTTAGCTTCTTCTTGTCCTGCAAGAGATTTAAGGTTGGAGTTTAGGGGTTGGAGTTTAGGGGTTGGAGCTCCGTCCTTGGGGCTTAGGGCTTGGAGTTTGGTATTTGGTTTTGCCTCCTTCGCCTTCCCATGCTATACTCCAGTTGGGGCTGATCGAACTTAACATCCTGTACTGAGCCTGAGGGACCCACACCAATCTTCGCGACGTTCGCACTCAGGTTTAGGCTTGTAGGCTTGCACCAGACTTGCGCAGCGCTCAAAAATTTTCGAGGGTCTCAAAAGCTCGTGCTTTTTGCACCGAGGCCTCAGACTGAAAGCTCCGAAGACGACGATTCCTGCATGCATGCAGGCACCTGGTTGATATCAAGAATAACTGGCAATGAGCCTGTCAAAGTTCATACCTACGCAACCCACACTCCATGGCCATCCTTTTGCACGCGAAGCGAAATTCGAAAGCTGGAACACCCGTACCACACTCCCGATGCCCCTTACTGTTACAATCCATTGAAGAAATACCACATACCGAGTTTGATCCTCTTAGCCTGGGGTCTTGGATGAATCTGACTAGGACTTCCTTGAAACGAGGAAGCTGTGATCCTGGGGCCACGGTTCGATCATGGTAGTGAAGGCCTACATACAGGACTTAGGCCTAACCTCAACCCAGCCCTAGCCCTACATCCTGAACCCTCTCTCTCTCTCTCTAAAGCGAAAGGCAGGTTCAGTTCCGA